AAAAACTCGTTTTTGGCGAACACATTCGTCTATTACTGCATATCTTTGAATCTCACCGTATAATAGATATGTTAGAACATTAACGTTAATTCCGGAATCAACCTTCTGATCGGAATTTCAGAATTGAACGAATTTGGTGTCCAATTTAATTTTCTAGATTAACGTATATTTGAAACATACTAATCTCATCAATATCCAGCTTAGGTTTTTGGGTAGAACCTTGCTCTGCAAATAAAGATTGTGAGAAGATTAGAATAGAGATTATTCAAAGTGCAGGTTCACTTCACAATTTTGGTTCCTGACTGGTTCTTCATGCTGCTTTTATTGAGTGTACGAATTCACCTACATGATGGCTCCCTGTAAAAGATTTCTTCCGCCTTTTCACCTACACAAGGTCTATTATGAGGGCGCATCGTCATAGATCTGCATATGCAGATGCAAGAAACGGGTTGCAAGAAAAGCTGTTGCTGGAATCGGATGCAAGCGAAGGCTTGCGAAGTCAGCTCCGAAATCACTGACTCTGATGGCCCCAGAAAAGCTTAAAGGCAGAGATTACGATAGATTCGAAAGGAGATGGAGACATGATGGTGCTCAGTAGCCGCAGTGGCGAAAAAAGCTAATATATCCGTCAAAAAACCCAAAGCGAGACCTCCCCTCCTTCTTGGCCCTTCTTTTTCACTCATGAGCAGGTAAGAGCTCAGAAATCGGTGCTATGAAAGAGTTCACGGCAAATGCGTTGGGGTGCGCTTATAATGCCAAACACGATCAATCCTAGTTGCTCCAATTGTGAGCTGATAACAATGCTGCTCGTCCAAATCACCAGCTAAACTAGTGGGCTGATCGTTTTTGAGGGCAGTGCTCTCGAACTTCTGCTCATCAACCAGTTCACCTTCCGCTGTGATAGTGCCACAATCTCGCTTTTTGGCAGCAAGTACATATATGCTTCGTGGTGCATACGCTTCCCCGATGCGCTTCCTACCTATCGTGATCGCTGCCTTTGAAGCGATTCACGAATCTCGCAGATATGGAAGCGGACTATTAGGGTTCTAAAGGAATGGCATGGCTAATGCCTTCAATAAAAGGGCAGTGGCGGTTTCGTTGATACTGCTATAATGCGTTTTGAGGAGATTAGAGAGCCTTCAAGTGTTACGAAATTGTAGGTTGAAATATTTTTTTTACATACTGAAGACGAAATATTCACATGCTAGATGGGTGCGCTATCACACATATTGCAGAGTTTTTTGTTATTCTAACATGGCCTCTCAATCCTCATTCGATTCCTGCAATTGTTGACAACCACGCCATTTACGTGCAGTGTTTAGTGGGATAGACCTTCTGCAGATGTACGTATCTATTTCGATTGTGGTTGTTTTTTGGTAGTACTAGACCGGTTTGCTGTGGTAGAAAGTTTAATTGGCCTCTAGTTACCAACAACAAATGGGATTCACCGTTTTTATAACAATGATGCGGATTCTCAGCGTTCGGAGCTCTCGAAATATTTTCATTACCTCAACATCACGTTTCAAAGGCAGTGATTACGATCAAGGAAGTCCGCAGAAAACTATCAGTAATAGATATTTCATCAGATTACAAGAAGCTTGAGCATTAAACTCTCTAAGTATATCTAAGTGATACAAGTTTTATTTTACGATTCCTTAAAACGCGAGAAAGTGAGGGAAAAAACGCTTAAATGCTGTCTGGCTCATTGTAAAATTCGTAGGTAGCCTCCCTCTTCGTGCAAAATTTACTTTGTGAATGTTGCATACCTTTAATTTCTTGGCTCAATTGAAAGGGGCAGAGAAGCATTGTTGGAATATTTTTCATTATGAATTTAAAGGCGAATTCACGATGAAAAAGCAACCCATTTCAAATTAAGTAGGGATGGTGAGTGGTACACGAAAGAAGGAAGAACCATGAGAAACGGCCCAGAACCCGAGAAATGGGACCCCTTCCTTGCCCGTTGATTTGAGCATTGATGCGACTCTCATCGCTGTGCCCTCTTCAACACTACGCTCTCTCTGCTATCTAATCACTCGCCACGTATAGACCTGCGGCGAGTGATCAGTGGGCGTACCCCGCCAACCGCGCCAAGAGTGAGCCATGCCAGATGGCCGAGGTCAAATTTTTCGCTTAAAGCAACAGTCCAGGCAGGGTTTCAACTACTTGGTCATTAGGCGGTCAAAACATGCCCCAGCCCAACTAAAGTTTATAGGAAATGTCTTTAAGTTCAAAACCTACCTCTAAAATGCGCTGGAAGGGGTCGAAGTCCTCTTGGAGGGGGCGGATCACCCATAACCGAGGCGGATCGCCCAACATACGCTGTGCAGAGTCCGTGCTTGACTAGCGGTCGTTGCGGGACCGCCGCGCTGTATGAGGTCGATTCCATAAGAACGCAATTGAAGCGCTTCAATTTCGATTGCTGGCAAATAGTTATGTATTTGCAAGCATGCATGGCTATTTGCCAGCAGTTGCAGCGCATGTACTACGGGCAGGTTCGGACAACTCGTCCAACACACGTCTCCCTAAACGGCAGGGGGAGTCCCTGTCTAAGCCCCTGCCCGACGTTTTTTTCTACTTTTTCTTTCTCCATTGACCAACTTCTCACCTGCAACGTCATTATAGGTGGTCCTTACCCGCGAATTCGTTCCTGGATTGTTGCTTTAAATGTATGTCAGTGCGCATTCCAGGGGGTCCAGCTTTCTCCCCACTACGCAATTTTCCACTTCTTCGACCATCGTTCCTTTCGTGAATTCCTCCTCTCAGAAGGGAAGTAGAGTCGAGGGTACAGACAGGAATATCGACAAATTGCACGGGGACACGGTATTTGCGAATCAGGCAAGCGATGGTCACGCAAGCTCCGCTCCGGAAATTGAAGCATGAAGGATGAGCCCCGCACAGTAGAGCTTGTTGCGCTTTCTGAGGAAGTTCTGCGGAAGATGGTGGAGGAAAATCTGAGTGTAACCACCAAGAAGTATGCGATGATTTCGGGTTCGGCCATCCAGCCGCTCACCCACATTTCCAATACTGAAAAAATTGAGGGTAGGGTTAGTGGGTGCCACAACAACCTTCCCAACCTCCTTTTTGCCACCGAAGAGCAATGATGGCCGCGAATTATTGGTGAATTTTACAGGAAACGAAGCCCCATCCTGCATGATCGTCCTGAATTGCACTATCTCACTGCCACTTATTTTAGAGCCTGGAGAATCATTTGGTGGGGACAACAATCAGTTCTGTGAACGAGTTCGGAGTAGTAGTAGTGTTTGAGGTAGATTTTCTGGGAAGTTGTCTGAAGTCATTCAGTGGTAAAAGAAAAATCCATTGTATATTATGCATCGCGCATACAATGCCGATTGGCAGTTTTAGTAGCACAAAATGCTTTCGAAAAATGACACGCTAGAAATCGCTGCCCAGCCTTTTGCAGTCGCCCGATGAAATTGTCTACTCCCACGATTTTTGCCCTTCTCAAAAATCCTCTACCTGATTGAAATCAACCCCTTGCTATGACGCAATATGAAGTCCGTGGACTAGATCATAGACTAGACTTGCCAACGACAAGAGAAAGGTGATCCTTGCCCAGATTTGTTCACAGGGAGCTCGATTACGCATCAGTACTTGATCACTTTAGTTCTATTTGCGTATAGTGACGTCACTAACACTGAGTGAACATTGCCCTTTTTTCGAAATTAGGTTCAAAAAGATTCTTCATATTAACTCATTAATGTGTTGACAGGAGCATCGTAGAGACTGGGAACGCCCACTCAAGGGAAGTGGACAAGCTTACAGCCTTTAGGCTGGGCCGAGCTTTCGGTTCAGTAATGGATGAACCACAGTCGTTTGAGACTGAGAACAGTGAACTGACCACCAATTCTTCCATCCCTTCTTCATTAATTGTTAGGTACAAGTCTTCGAGAACGCTAGCCATGAGTAGTACATTGGCTGCTTAAGACTCATTTTATAGACCAAATGGGACCCCAATGAGGCCAGGATCCTGATCTGAACTAGAACGCGTGGTACACCCCAATATGCAATGCTCAACACTTCATGGTGTCCATTTCATTTCGTTATTCTCTACAAGCTGTTCCATGAAGTTAAGAGGCCTTCAATCACATCTATGATTCTGAACGATGCTCGACCTCTTATCCCTACTATATATAATGCGCTATGTCTGTCTGTCCGTCTGTCACGAAATTCGGTATCAAGCGAACAACAACCTACAGGGTCCAGGTCAAGTTTGGGATGGGTATACCATATCCCTAGAAGTAAAAAACACACATCAGCCAAGCGGAGCCCCGCCCACAGTGGGCGTGGCGTGCATCGGTTGATTCCAAATACAGTCAAAAACAGCCTCGAGACTGGAACAAAAAGTGGTTATAAATGTGCGTCGGTAAGCCAGATTGCATTGGGGAGACCCACCCTCGGTGGGCGGGGCGTTCTCTGGAAAAGCGGTGCTCAATAAAAATATCAATAACTAGGTTAGGAGGAAGCCTACAGAGCAGAAAAGAAATTAGTGCAGGGGCAGCGATGTCTAAGGTATTTCCAGCACACATGATGTGAACGGAGAGGTCCGCCCACAATGGGCGGAGCGTGTCCTGAAGCGGACGACGTTTTCTACAAGAGCTCATAAATCGGCTCCGAGATGACTTAGAAACCGGAAAACAGTGGATACAGGTTAGGAGAAGAGGAGAAGCTAAATGTCAAGGCTGGGCGTAGCTTACACCAAAGTGGGCGGAGTTTGCAACCAGCCTCATAACTCGGTTCCTATGAGTCCCGGGGTGTGGGGAAAGGCATATAAGTGTTGGCAGAGGG